GCGATGAACGCCACGGTGCCCTGCACGAGGATCAGGTCACGGTTGAAGATGCCGCCCAGCAGCAGCCGTCCGACGCCGGGCAGGGCGAAGATCTGCTCGACGATCACGGCGCCGCCGATCAGGCCGCCGATGTTGAGGCCGAGGATGGTGATCAGCGTGAACGACGAGGGCCTGAGCGCATGCTGCAGCAGGACCCGCCACGGCGGCAGGCCCTTGGCGCGCGCCAGCAGGATGAAATCCTCCTTGAGCGTGGTCAGCAGGTCGGAGCGCAGCACGCGCATCAGCACCGTCCACTCGATCAGTCCGAGCGTCAGCGACGGCAGGATCATCGATTCGAAATTATCCCACAGCCCTTCCGACATCGGCGTGAAGCCGGTCGCCGGCAGCAGGTCGAAGGTCACCGAGAAGAGGTAGATCAACACGATGCCCAGCATGAAGTTCGGCATCGCCAGGAAGCCGAAGGCGGCCGAGGCCGAGAGGCGATCGAAGATGCCGCCGGGTTTGCGCACCGACAGGAGCGCCACCGGGATCGCGATGCCCAGAGCGATGACCTGGGCCATCACCATGAGCTGCAGGGATACCGGCAGCCGGTCGAGGATCGCCTGCACCACCGGCTCGCCGTTGCGGTAGGAGCGACCGAGATCGCCCGACAGCGCCGAGCCCAGCCAGTCGAAGTAGCGCACCAGCATCGGCCGATCGAGGCCCAGGTCGGCGCGCAGGCCGGCAATGTCCTGCGGCGTGGCGAGACTGCCCAAGATCACGATCGCCACATCCCCGGGCAGGATGTTGACGATCATGTAGGTGAGCAGCGTCACGCAGAACAGCACGACGACCAGCCGCACCATCTGGCGCACGATCCACGGCATCGAAGACGCCTTGCGCTTAGCCTATGGGACGCCTGGCCCTACTTCGCGAACCAGGCGCTTTCGACCTGCACGGCACCGCCGCGCAGCGCCGGAATGCCTCGCACGTTGGCACGGGTGATGGCGAAATCGATGTTGCTGCCGCTCCACAGCCACACCGCGTCATCGTTCAGGATCTTGATCAGGTCGCAATAGGCGGCCTTGCGCTTGTTCTCGTCCAGGCTGGTGCGGCCGACCAGCAACAGACGGTCCACTTCCGCGTTGTTGTAGCCCGAGAAGTTGAT